TTGTTGTTGTTGTTGTTGGTTAATCTTCAGTGAGATTCACAGCGTTTGGGGCTGGTTGGTAGCTCAACAGCTCGAGTCCTAACCAAAGACCTGGGAACTGTTCAAGTTGTTGTTGTTGTTGTTACTATTATTACTATTATTATAATTATCACAGTCAGCCAGATATTCAGACTGGGTTTGGCATTTTTGTCTACCTATCGAGTCCTTACCAAGGACCTGGGATAAGCAAATTTGTATGTTTGATGGTGTTACAGATATCGCTGCAGGATGGAAGCTGTTCCAAGTAAAGCTGCCTTCTGCAATTGACTGATGGCAAATTTTTATGATGATGACGATGATGATGATTCATGTGGACGTTATTATGGCATGGGGAGGGCTTAGACTGGGGAGATCCTGGTTAACTAAATTCTCCTCTGATCTGTTTGTGGTCAGTGTTGGCATAAGATGCATCCCTTCTCTTGGTGGCTATAAAACCAAAAGACTCAACATTTGTTGCTTCTTGTGAGGTGGGCAGCTATATATAATTGATGTATAAACAAACATTATCACCTATTTTCTATACGAGTCTAAATTTCTAGACTTTTCTTAATATGAAGGAGAAATAAAAATATGTTACTATCAAAATAACTATCTTCTTCTGCGTTGCCACTACACTGTCCTTCCCCAAAGAACTACCTGAGAACCTGGATTGGCTATAATCCTTTGTGATTGGAATTGTGTCTGTACATCCTGCTTTCGCGCCACTGAATGGACCTACTAATACAGCAATAAGTCTTTTGTAGCCCTGGAGTACTTTTGTGGTATATTTGTGTCAATTCCCTCTTTTCTAACCTTTTTTCATCATCAGACATCCACCTTGCCAGTGGTGATAATTTCCAATGCCAACCAGATCTCCAGCGCTTGGGCTTCCATTTTATGGTTTATTATGCTCAGCAGAGATACTAAGGTAAGAACCTGTTTTCTTACAGCTGTTTCTCAGAAGTGGGCATGATCTCTCTAAGGTCGACCAAATGTCTTCTACCCAGATTGGCCATTTATCATTTTCTTATCACTTGTATTGGAACCAACTTTCCTCCATTTTGGATGGGGAAGGCTCTCATTCTGCTTCCATAGATCACTAGTCTTAAGTGCTCTGAAGGAATCATTTCTCTCATGCCTCCCTCTTGTATGCAATTCAAGAACACTGAAGTCGTCTGAAAACTGAGGTGGCAGCCAGGATCAACGCAGCGTGGGGCAAATGGAAGTCCGTCACGGGCGTCCTCTGTGACAAGAAGATGCCGATGCGCCTGAAGGCGAAAATCTATAACTCTGTGGTGCGCCCCGTGGCCATATACGGCGCAGAGTGCTGGCCGACGACCAAAGAAGTCGAAAGCAGACTCCAGACAATGGAGATGCGAATGCTCCGATGGTCGGTAGGCCTCACCCTACTCGATCGCGTCAGGAACGAAGAAGTGCGTAGACGGTTCAACGTCGTGCCCATCCCCACGGTCATGAGGCAGTCCCGGCTACGATGGTTCGGCCATGTGAGTCGCGCCAAGGAAGCATCCATCATCAAATCTGCGATGAAGGTGACTGTCGGAGGAGTGAGACCGCGTGGTAGACCTAAGCAACGCTGGATGGACACGATCAAGGCCGACCTAGAGATCGCGAAGGCAGACCCGACATACGTGGCAGACAGAGAGGCATGGAAGCAATACTCAAGGACATTAGCGGACCTCGCCAGAGCGCGAGACAAACGCTGAAGAAAAAGAAGAAGAAGACTGAAGTCGTCTGAAAAAGTTCTGCTTAAATTTCCATTTCTGAAAACTTTCGTTGGTGGCACCTCACCTATGGAACTCTTGTTTCTAGAATCATATAAACGATAGTAGGCAGCCTAATAGAGGAAGGATGGTCTTGTGTGCAAGTTACGTTCTTTGTTGGTGTTCACTTGTCCTCTAGCAGCCAGCTCCTGTATATATAGCAGGATGCCATCACTTTGAGGATAGAAAGCAACATCTATTCTGATCCCACAATAAAGGATACATTTAACCTCTCAGAAATCCGAGTTTAAAGCAACTCTCCCTAATATGATGTTCCCCCAGGCATGTAAGAGAAAGGTCTCATCATGGCTGAGGACAGAGAACTTTCTAGTGGAAACTGTTAAGAGAAGGTTGCAGAAAGCTAGACTATCGTCCCCGTTTCCTTAGACAGCCCAAGGGAATGAATTATGTCTCTAAAACTGTTCCTCATAGGTAATCACTGAAGAGCCTTTGCATGAGAGGGGGGCATATTTAAAATAAAATCTAGTACCTGATTAATGCTTCCCCCCCCCCCCCCCTTTTCCTAGGACCAACTGTTTTTTTCCAAACCACCAGCTGCCACCTGGGCCCAGCTTTCCACTGTATTGTCCTGGCAGTTCTCAGCAGCTACTGAACAAGGCTTGGATAAACATCAGCTCAAGATGCTGGGAGAAAAACTCTGTGGTAAAGTGGGAGGTTTTGTCCCTAGGGAGATGACGCAGGGATTTCACTGATATGGACAAGTCTGGGTTTAAAGTCCTGCCCAGGCATATGTCTTTTCAGCAGAGAAGTTTAGGCAAAATGGTCTTAGAAGCTTAGGAATGTAGAATCAAAATTGACAGCAGCCATGTTTGATTCATTGGAGGGCTGTGCTCAATTTCTTCAATTCTGCTTCCCAGCAGTTTTCACTTTCCTTGTGAGAAAAGAATAGCCCTGTTGAAAGAAGTACTGTATTTTTCAGACTATCAGAAGCTCTGAACTATAACACGCACCTAGCTTTTGGGGAGGAAAACAAGGGGGAAAAAACTGCCTCTGCCTCCCAGTAATTTGCCTCCTTGCAGCCTGATTTAGCATGAGCAGCTGATTGGCGGTTGGATCCGCCTCCTGGAATACCGACAATAAGTTGTTTCGGGCTGCAGGGATGGCTGCCGCTCATCCACGCAGTCGCCGCCCATCACCGCTGCCACCTATCGCCGCCTCCACATGCCCCATTTTTGGGCAGGCTGAAAACGGGATGTGCGGAAGCTCAAAATGGGATGCACGGAGGCTGAAAATGGGGCACCATGGAAGCTGAAAACGGGATGCGTGGCGGCAGCGGTGGTGCGGATGGGCAGCGGCGATCCCTGCAGCCTGAAACGGCCGTTTATCGGTATTCCGGGAGGCTGATCCAACCGCCAATCAGCTGCTCATGCTAAAGCAGGCTGTGCTGAAGCTGACCAGGCTGTTTGCTGCAAGGAGGCAAATTGCTGGGAGGCAGAGGCTGGCGGGTGGGGGCCGGCGGGTGGGCGAGGCTTCGGCAACAATCACTCTATAACAGTGATCCCCAACCTTTTTTATGCCGCGGCCCGGTACCGGCATCAGCTGGGCGCCGCCCTCTTGTTTTGATGAAAAAGTGCTTCCGGTGAGCTTTCTACCTGGAAAAGCTCACCGGAAACACTTTTTCATCAAAACAAGATGGCGGCGCCCAGCAAACCAGCGGCCCGGTAGGACTTGTTCCACGTACCGGTACCGGTCCACGGACCGGTGGTTGGGGACCCCTGCTCTATAAGACGCACAGACATTTCCACCCACTTTGGTTTTTTGGGGGGTGGGGGGCGTCTTATAGTCCGAAAAATATGGTAATAGTTCTGCTTGGGTTCACATCCTTATCAAGGCAGTTATGTGGTGTTTCTCCTTATTTTTTCTTCCCATTAAAGGGCCAGGCGTGAACTCACAGAGTACCATCACATGGGATCAGTTTTCAAAGGTAAGGAATTGTCCTAGAAAAAAACTCCTCCAGGGTTTCTGCTGTCCATCTGCCAGCATCCTCATTTAGCTGTCCTCTTTTTTTTTCCCTCCAGGGAGCGACTGCGAGCTCTCCAGAGGACAATAATTTCAGCTTCTGGACCTGGATTGATGGGATCCTACTCCTGATTCAAGAACATCTGCTTCAGCTCTGGAAAAATGGGTACGGATTGGGGAGAAAGGAATAAGTGATAAAAACGAGAACCTCTTGGTTACTGCTAGCCTTTGGGGGAAATGCCAAATCATGCACAGGTAGTCTTCAACTTACAACAACTTCCTCAACCTCAGCTTTGTTTAGTGACCATTCTAAGTTACAGCAGCACTGAAAATTTTCAGTGACCATTTTTCACCTTTACAGCTACCGCCATTGTCACCAGATCAAAATTAAAAAGCTTGGCAAATGACTCATATTTATGCAGAGTTGCAGAGTCCCAGGGCCAAGTGATCCCCCTTTTTAGATCTTCTGACAGGTAAAGTCAATGGGGAAGCCAGATTCATTTAACAACTGTGTTATCTAATTTAACAAGTGCAGTGGGGTGAAACTCATATAACTGTTTTACTCAGCAACAGAAATTTTGGGGTCAATTGTGGTTGTAAGTTGAGGACTACCTTTATTCCTTGTTAGAGAGCTAAATATCAGGGTAGTAGCAGCATCTCTCCTGGATTTGGGAAGAGAATTTCATAACCTTATATTGGAAGGCTGGGGATACAGCTTTTTCCCATAGTGTTCAGCACCATGTTGTCCTAAACCACTGTTTTTTTCCCACAGTTTTGGTAATTTTAAGACATGGGAACTCCCATCTTCCAGAATTCCCCAGGTAGTATGCTGGCTTGGGATTAGTGGGAGTTGAAATCCACATACTTTAAAGTTGCCAAGTATTTTTTTTTAAAGTCTGTAGAGCAGGAGTCCTCAAACTTGGCAACTTTAAGACTTGTGGACCGAATTCTGTTGTCAAGTTTGGAGATTCTCCATCCTCCAGGTCATAGTTGTCCCAAAGGTGCTTTTTCAGGATGCAACTGGATTTCCTTGTTTTTTCTTTTTACTTTTGAAGACGTTTCACTTCTCATCCAAGAAGCTTCTTCAGCTCTGACAGGATAGTAGTATCAGGGGATAAGTGACCTTAACTGAGATTGCAAAAGGCAGGAAAACAGCACAGTGTTTAGAGTTTTGGGGTTTTTTGTTTTTTGTTTTGCCTGGGACAGCAATTTACTAACCTGTGACTCTGCATGTAGGAAGCAGGGTTTGAAAAGATACAGTGAGGAAGAGGTGAAATCAGCACTTCTGGAAAGCAAAGGAAAATGAGGGGCTTTTCCTGATCTATATCTTTCCCATTCCCAAATTTGACTAGACTCATCATGGGATTTGTGAGCCGCAAACATGAAAAGCATTTGCTGAAGAGGAAAATAGCAGGCACCTTCCTGATACGTTTCAGTGAGAGTACCTCCAGCGGTGGGATCACCTTTACCTGGGTAGACTTTAACAGTGATGGTGAGTTTTGGATTCCTACCTTACTTTTTAATCATCCTCAGTGATGCCTTAGACCAGAGGTCTCTAAACTTGGCAACATTAAGACTTGTAGATTTCAACTCTAATCAGTGCTATTAATTTTGCTGTCTCTGCCAATTCAGTCAATTTTAAAATCCACTCTTGAACATTTGGTTGTCCATTTTTCTTTCCAATACTTGGCATAAACAATCCTTGCAGCATTCACCATGAAAAGAAATAAAGTCCCAAACTGTTTTTCTATCAATTTGTCCATAATACCTAGAAGAAAAACTTCAGGTTTCATTAATATTTGCATTTGGAATATTTTCTGCATTATCATTATGTTTATCCAATTTGGTTTACATACTTACAAGATCACCATTTGTGATAAAGTGTATCTGGAGTTTGGTTACATTTCCAAAACTTGCTAGAAGTTCCTCTGTACATTTTTGTCCATTTGTCTGGAGTCAAATACCATTGATACATCATTATATATATTTTTTCTTTCAAACTGTAATTCAAAGTAAATTTTAAATTGTTGGTCCATACATTCTCCCATTTCTCTAATGATATTATTATAATCAGTGTTTTTCACCCACTTTACCATGCAATCTTTGACATATTCATCTTCCAAATTAATTTTAAGTAATATTTTATAGACTTTACCAATCAAGTGGCCATACCCAGAATGTATGTTTGAGTCCAATTCAGATTTATCACCTGCAAAAACAAAGCTTTTTATTGTTTAAATCTTTCAAAAATTCTATAATAGTTAAACCATTCACAATTAAATCTCTTGCTTATTAATTGTTCTCTTGTTTTATCTTGTCCTTTTTCTTCAAATATCAATAAATTATGACATCATCCATTTAAGTTCCAACAATTTCTATGAAATGCTTCATGTGATGAAAATCATAATGGTACCAGATCAGCCAATCTGTTTTTGTATTTCAGCCATACACAACCTCTTGGTTAGGGATACTGGAATTTACTTTTTTTAAACAAACAAGACAAAGTTTGAAAATTCCTGACTGAGCCACTCAAGTCATGATTTAAATCCTCCACCAATAAAAGAATACTTTTAGATCTATTTTTAGATCATTTCGGTATAACAGAGATCTAAGTATAACAGAAACATAGATCTATGTTTAGATAATTTCTGTATAGCAGAGTCCTCTTGCAAGCTCATAAACACATTTGGAGGTGTGGCAGGTTGAGACCCTCGCTCTCATAAAGGAGTCTCTAGATCAGTGTTTCTCAGTTTCAGCAACTAACTTTAAGATATGTGGACTTCAACTCCCACAATTCTCTGCTGGGTGTGGAATTCTGGGAGTTGAAGTACATGCATCTTAAAGTTGCCAAAGTTGAGAAACACTGCTCTAAATACTCCATACTCCTGGCTTCATTTATCATTTGCACTCATTCTGGGACATCTTTAACTTTACAAATGCCCTGACAGACTAAGCTGCTGAGAAGATAATGTCAGAGATGTTTCTATTCTGCTCCTCACAATTTAAAAATCAGTACAGAGGGCCTTGTACTGGAATAGACTAGATGGGGGCAGCAAACCACTCCCAGGAGTGTGGAGAATGAATATCTCATTGTCATTCCTCCCCCCCTTCTCCATTGTCTTCAGTTTTCAATTATAATATTAGGATACATAGTCCCTTTTTCCATTCTTGATTCCTTTCATAAATTTCTTTCACTTACTGTCTTTATGAGGGCAATGTTAGTGAGTTGTAGCCGAAGCAGTGACTTTCCAGGCATTAAGAGTATATTTTTAAAAATAGGTGGTACAGCAATAGCACTTATACTTATATACTGCTTCATAGTGCTTTACAGCCCTCTCTAAGCATACAGAATCAGCATATCGCCCCCAACAATTTGGGGTCCTCATTTTACCAACCTTGGAAGGATGGAAGGCTGAGTCAACCTTGAGCCTGGTGGGATTTGAACTGCCAAATTGCAGGCAGCCGACAGTCAGCAAAAGTAGCCTGCAGTACTGCACTCTAACAACTGCGGCACCAAGCAGTAACTATGAGAGGGAACTAGGAGTCCTAGTGGACAACCACTTAAATATGAGCCAGCAATGTGCTGCAGTTGCCAAAAAAGGCAGTGCAGTCTTAGGCTGCATCAACAGAGAAATAGTATCAAGATCATGTGAAGTATTAGTACTGCTTTGGTAAGACCCACTTGGAATATTGTGACCAGTTTTTGGTCACCATGATACAAAAAAGATGTTGAGACTAGAAAATTGTTGTAATAGTCTTGCATTTATACACATTTTTAGTAATCCTCCAACATTGGTTAACTTTGGTTATTGCTTAACTTTTGTTACTGTTTAGCATAGTAACTAATACAATTAATTATCTCTAGTTAAAGTCTAACATATGTTTACTTCCTCTCTCTAATCCTCCTTTAGATGAGTGACTTTGTTTGCCTGAGTTGTAATTGCTTGTAAACATTCTTTATCTGAGGTTTGCCATCCAAGATAAGAACATTCCTGCAATTACAACTCTACAGAAAATGTGGAGAGAAGAGCAACAAAGATGATTAGGGAGCTGGAGGCTAAACATATTGCAGAAATTGGGTATGTCTAGTCTAATGAAGAGAAAGGACTAGGGGAGGGGGGGGGTGACATGATAGCAGTCTTCCAAAATTTGAGAGGCTGTCACAGTGAAGAGGGGGTTGCCTATTCTCCAAAGGACCTCAATGGAAACCTATCAGAGAGGTCTAACATAGAACTAAGGAGGAATTTCCTGAAGGTGAGAACAGTTACTGGAACGGCTTTCTTTCAGAAGTTGTGGGTTCTCCATCACTGGAGGTTTTTAAGAAGAGGTTGGACAGCTATTTGTCGGGAACGGTGTAGGACCTCTGCTTGAGGAGAGGGTTGGACTAGCAGACCTTCAAAGTCCCTTCCAACTCTGTTATTCTGTCTTCTGAATCCCCCCCCCCACTCTTCTCACCAAGCGCATTGCCCACCCAGAGTCAAATTTCAGGATGACGCAGAAATTTCTCCATATCATCAAAAACCTAATTTCTGCAGGTTCTCCCAAGTTCAATTCAGTTGAGCCCTACACCAAGAAAGAACTGCAGTTCCTCTCACTGCCCGATATCATCCGAGATTACCAACTCTTTGCTATCGAGGCCATTCCAGAGAATCCACTCCTCTACCTGTATCCTGACACTCCACGGGATGAAGCTTTCGGTTCTTACTACGAAGAACGCCAGAAAGGTATTAGCGGCTGCCAGTTTTTCCTTGGGCATTCTCCACCGGGACTCTTATTTATACCCTGCAACTCAGTTGAACTGCCTTTCCCCAGGGATGGGTGTATATATGTAATCTGATATTTCCAGAATTGCTATATATGGAGGTTGACATCTAGTAAATGTAACTGTTTGGATAGGGAAGGTTTAAAGTACGTTTTGTCAGAGGGATGATGACGTTGATTACGATGACGCGTTACAGAGCAACCTAAATTGTTCCAGAGGGTTTTACAGTTTAAATGAGGTAAAGATCAGGTATGCAGGTAGTGCTCTTGGCATGGCAAAGAAATCTTCAATTAGTAAACATTTCTTTCTTTGTCATGCAAATTTCAACAATTGAGCCAAAAGATTAGGGCTTCCCTTTTCCATGCGACATTTCCACCAGAGTTCTTCTGAAATATTCATGCTATTCTGAATAAAATGATAGTGCAAACATTTATCTCCATAGAAAGAATATTCGTTTGTTTGTTTGTATCCTGCCTTTATTTATTTTTTTTACTAAAAACTCAAGGCAGCAAACATATCCAACACACCTTCCTCCTCCTATTTCCCCCACAACAACAACCCTGTGAGTTGGACTGTGCTGAGACGGAGAGTGACTGACCCAAAGTCACCCAGCTGCCTTTCATGGCTAAGGCAGGACTTGAACTTTCAGTCTCCTTATTTTGAGACTGGTGCCTCCACCACTACACCACAAACAGGCTCTCTACCAAGAAAACTATGAAGGGAACTCTGTTAAATCTGACGCAAGGATTGTAAAAGTATTGGCAGTGTTGCTGCTTCTCCATCCTTCAAACCCTGCTCTTTTTTTCCCCCCAGTAAGCACGACGGAACAAAGAGAATATTTAAACCGCCGCCTGATCAGAGTCTCCACGTGAGCAATGCCATCTTCTCCTTTCTTTGCTTCCTCAAGCAGTTGGTTGTAATTGTCGCATGCATCACTCCCCAACTAGTTCCCCTGAATCCAGTTAGTGGTATGATATCGGATCAGCCGAATTGATAGTAAAAAAAAAGTCGACAATCAGCTGAGGGGAGGGGAAAAAAATCCTCTCACAATCAGCTGAGAGGAAAGTGAGAAAAGCGCAGGATCGGCCCTCCCACCTGCCCCTGAGCTTTTCTCCTCTTTCTCCTCTCAGCTGATCGGCGCTTGCAGGCCTCAGCTGGTGTGGAGAAAGCTACCGCCGGCGTTAGGCAAAGCATGCCCAGAAAGCCACACCCCAGAAAGTCATGCTCACCGAACCAGTGGTAAAACAATTTGAATCCCACCGCTGCCTGAATCCATCATTCTACTGCAATCCCACTTCTCATGGGCTCTGTCCCTTGTGATAGACATGAAAGGCTGAGCTAACGTGGGAATCCCGTTTAATCTCACCGGATGAAAGGCCGCCTACGAAGGCCTTGATTTGGACCCAGAGTAATGCCAGTAGACATTCTTCTGATGGAGTTGCCTCCTTTCTTCTTTGCCCCACTTCTAAACCAGCCCCCAGCTTTTGAGACAAATTTGACTAGAGGAAAGAATGACCAGGAAAGGGAAGTTCAGAGAGCAAATAGGTCTTCTGGGTTAGGGAACTCCTTGCTGAGGTTGTGTGTCCTGCACAGTCTTTGGGTAGTGTTCTTCCCTGATTTAATTCCTCTCTCCTTAATCCAGAGGCTGGCTAGCTGGGCACCTTTTGAATAGAAAAGGTAGCTCCCCATCAGGCCCTTGCCGCTTGTACCTTCTACTCAGGGAGGTGCTGTCTCAAAGTACATTGCTCAAAAAAATAAAGGGAACACACAAATAAGACATCCTAGATCTGAATGAATGAAATATTCTTATTAAATACTTCGTTCATTACATAGTTGAATGTGCTGACAACAAAATCACACAAAAATTATCAATGGAAATCAAATGTAGCAACCCATGGAGGTCTGGATTTGGACTTACACTCAAAATTAAAGTGGAAAAAAACACGACAGGCTGATCCAACTTTGATGTAATGTCCTTAAAACAAGTCAAAATGAGGCTCAGTAGTGTGTGTGGCCTCCATGTGCCTGTATGACCTCCCTACAATGCCTGGACATGCTCCTGATGAGGTGGCGGATGGTCTCCTGAGGGATCTCCTCCCACACCTGGACTAAAGCATCCCCCAACTCCTGGACAGTCTGTGGTGCAACGTGGCATTGGTGGATGGAGTGAGACATGATGTCCCAGATGTGCTCAATTGGATTCAGGTCTGGGGAACGGGCAGGCCAGTCCATAGCATCAATGCCTTCGTCTTGCAGGAACTGCTGACACACTCCAACCTCATGAGGTCTAGCATTGTCATGCATTAGGAGGAACCCAGGGCCAACCGCACCAGCATATGGCCTCACAAGGAGTCTGAGGATCTCATCTCGGTACCTAATGGCAGTCAGGTTACCTCTGGCGAGCATATGGAGGGCTGTGCGGCCCCCTAAAGAAATGCCACCCCACACCATTACTGACCCACTGCCAAACTGGTCATGCTGGAGGATGTTGCAGGCAGCAGAACGTTCTCTACAGCATCTCCAGACCCTGTCACGTCTGTCACATGTGCTCAGTGTGAGCCTGCTTTCGTCTGTGAAGAGCACAGGGCGCCAGTGGCGAATTTGCCAATCTTGGTGTTCTCTGGCAAATGCCAAACGTCCTGCACGGTATTGGGTTGTAAGCACAACCCCCACCTGTGGACGTCAGGCCCTCATACCACCCTCATGGAGTTTGTTTCTGACCATTTGAGCAGCCACATGCACATTTGGGGCCCGCTGGAGGTCATTTTGCAGGGCTCTGGCAGTGCTCCTCCTGTCCCTCCTTGCATAAAGGCGGAGGTAGCAGTCCTGATGCTGGGTTGTTGCCCTCCTATGGCCTCCTCCATGTCTCCTGATGTACTGGCCTGTCTCCTGGTAGCGCCTCCATGCTCTGGACACTACGCTGACAAACACAGCAAACCTTGCCACAGTTCGCATTGATGTGCCATCCTGGATGAGCTGCACTACCTGAGCCACTTGTGTGGGTTGTAGACTCCGTCTCATGCTACCACTAGAGTGAAAGCACCGCCAGCATTCAAAAGTGACCAAACCATCAGCCAGAAAGCATAGGAACTGAGAAGTGATCTGTGGTTACCACCTGCAGAACCACTCCTTTATTGGGGATGTCTTGCTAATTGCCTCTGCTTTCCACCTGTTGTCTATTCCATTTGCACAACAGCATGTGAAATTGATTGTCAGTCAGTGTTGCTACCTAAGTGGACAGTTTGATTTCACAGAAGTGTGATTGACTTGGAGTTACATTGTGTTGTTTTAAGTGTTCCCTTTATTTCTTTTGAGCAGTGTATTTTTCTGTGAATCAGTTAACCCGGGGTGGGGGTGGGGGACACCTGAACGCAGGTTTAAAAAAATGGGAGAAATAAAGTCTGGGCTGATTGTCTTAAGTCTTAAAAGATTTTAAGAAGTTTCAACTGAACTTCTCTAGCAAGAGAATTCCCCAACTTGGATGCCATGGCAGAGAAGATGCTGTATGCCCCCCTCCTGCCCCCCTCCTGATCTCAATTATGGATGCTACTGAAAGTGGTACAAAGCTTTTTTTTCTTTTTCCTCTAATTCATCTCCATCCAGGCAACCAGGAGAGACTCAGATGTCAGATGTAAATGAACCACTCCCTATAAGCAAGGAGTTGGTAACTGATGAACTGCAGAATACTGAGCACACAATGAAGAACTTTCTGCTTGACAAGGAAGGTAAATAATGTATCTGGACCCTCTTAAATTGGGCAATTGTTATAATCCCTTTGAGACTATGTCCCAAAGGAGCTGGTTTTTTTTTCAAGAGACAACTGGACTTTCTTGTTTTTCTTTGAAGATATTTCACTTCTCATCCAAGAAGCTTCCTCAGCTCTGATTTGATGGTAGGGAACGGAAAGATTTATGTTCCTTGCAGGCAGCTGGTCCATTAACAACACAGCAACTCTCTAAAAGAATGCAAATGACCAGCTCTTTGCAAGGAGTATAAATCCTTCCATTCCCCACCATGCAGTTAGAGCTGAAGAAACTTCTTGGATGAGAAGCTAAAGATCTTCAAAGAAAAAATAAGGAAGTCCAGCTGGCTCCTGAAAAAAGCAGCTTTGGGACAACCATGACCTAGAATGACTGAGAATATCCACAGACATTTTAAGACTATGGTTGCAGAATTGTTTGTTTGTTTGTTTGTTTCCATTCTCTCTCTCTCTCTCTCTCTCTCTCTCTCTCTCTCTCTCTCTCTCT